TAATATTGCTCGAGAGATGTAATTAACTAAAATTGAAAAATCGGTTCTAACATCGTAAATGAGTAATTTGTTAATTGATTTGTGGAGAAATTAATTAGACAACGGTTAAGCGAACCATGAATTCCAACCACTTTTTCCTCCGAAATTTTCAAGATTTTTATACTTTTTATATTTTGTACGTTTTTAGTTATTTTTCAAAATTAAATCTTTATTATGTGTTTCTTTTTATTGTTAGAATTAAATTAATTAAAGTTGTATAATCGAAAGTTAACATTCCTTGAGGGATCAACAATTTAAACTCAAAATATCCACTTTATTACTTAAATGCGATCCATGCACTTGCAGCATGTAATTTTAACGAACAATATCGAGGGATATTCAATGCAAGTGTAATCTTTGCTATGAATTTACTTTTTCAATTACAAAAAGGTCTTGGAAGTAAATTTAGCAAATAGTATTTACTGAGATACTTATATATTATATAGTTTATTAGGTTCATATATTAAATTATAGTATTTGCAGATATTTTATTTTTTTACTAGGTTATATCAATGGTATGAAAATCGGACTGATCCTGCCGGTTTAATCGGAGAAATCGAGATCTTGCCTTAAATCCGGTTTGGTCATTATATATTAACCCCAAAAAGGAAAGCCAGTGAATAAACTAATGAACCGGTCGATTAACCACAAATTGAAAAATCGATCATGATTTTTCACTGAATATATAAGGTTTTTTTTTTTCTTCCAAAAAATATTTCAACTTTGTTGATTGGGCTCACTTGCAATGGCAGGCCCAATTGAAATTTACCTTCAAAGTGTTGTAGCTTTTAAAAAACACTCCTTATACACATTTTCTTTGATCATTGGGAAAAATCCATATATGCCATGATAATATGAAGTAATTCATTTTATACTACTAAATAGATTTTTAAACCACAATTACTACCTAATCTCATAATAAAACCAAAATTACTATACATGAAACCTTCTTATTTTGTGATTGTAAATGAAACCATCAAATGCGGCAGAAGGGATGGCATTAAATCCATATGTTGAACATACGGGAATTTGAATTCAAAATGATTTTTCTTGCTATGTTAATGTTATCATTTCAATTGTGATAATAGATAATCAGCAACCGTGTGAGATTTGCTTCAGAAATTTCTTCAAGATGCGAGATCCGTTTTGTTTACTGGTTATCTTCTTTGTAAAAATGATTACATCATCTCTCTAATTTAAACAAGAACAAATGTTATGTTGTGTATTCTGAACGTTGAATTTTCGTCTGTGAATTCCACCTTTTTGTAAAATATTTGTACTGTTTTGTGATTATTGTCTGGTAATCATAGAGGTTTTATGATTTGTTATATACCTATATCTCTGTAATGTTAAAATATGCCTCAATTAGAAATCTCACCTTGTAAAAATACTTGTAAAATCCATTTTTATGTTTTCACAATTTCATTTGTTGATAAACATTTGGTCCATGATTCTTGAGTTATCATAACATTACTCATACATACTTATATCAATATTAGAAACTTAACTGATTTATTCATATATGTCCACATATTCTTTGATATGTATGAAATTAAATTATTGGGCAATCAGCACTTCATGAAAGAAACTCAGTGTGTTCTTCTAGTCATTCATGAAGGTTCAAATTACATAATCTGTGAAATTATTCAGTCGGAGCACTCGTCGATTTGGGATGTCTTCTACAGTAGCATTGTTTTTGTGAAGGTTATATCGCAATCCTTAATCTAATAAATAACTTAATTCAATTTGTTGATTGAGCACATTGCTGATGTAGATATATCTCCTATTCGAATAACAAATGACAACTCTCTACATTTTTATTTGGACGTCGTGGAGGGAAGGGCCATAATAAGAGAATGTGTAAGTAGCTCTTCAACTATTTCATGAAAGAAAACGAAAGTGTGGATCCAATATGAATAGTTAATATGAAGAAGCGGATTGTCTTGGTAATTGGGATGGTGCCAAAATATGTAACGCTTTCATATTTTATCTTTTTTTTTTTTTTAATTTTTGGTCTATGGATATGTGTTATTTTATATAAATTATCATTATTTACATTTTGCTTGAAATTCGTATTCCTGTTGTTGGAATGGTCACCCTAAAATTATGTTGCTCTTAGTTATCATAAAACATATAAAACACATTTCGAGACAGAAAAAACAAAATTGACTACTTTGTCGCATAACCAAGTTGGATTTTCTGTAAAAAGGCTAAACTTCGTAGCATAATACTCATGAGACAAACACTCAAAGATAGAGAATAAAGAAAGAAATGGAAATTTCATGTTAAAAGAGAACAAAAAGAGGTGAGATCGATACAGATACTTAACATCACTTTTGAAAGTTTGTTAGTGGGATAATGTGTGAAATGGAGGCAGGTGCTTCCATTATCACTGTGATTGAATTTGTGGACAATATTAGTGTTTTGTGTCCTGCGATATAGATGTGTCCTATAACTTCTCATAATGTACACATCAATTTCCTATTTCTTTCTTTATATCCCACCACCAACAATACAATCCTAAAAATCTTCACAACGTTGGTAATTCTTTGGCCATGCTTGATTAACAAACTAAAAGTAACAATATGTACAATAATTGAAGAACATTTGGCACAAAAACTTACATCGCCTATGTAAATGTTAAAAGTGGACATTAAAAAAGACAACAAAATATAGGTGTCGACTAATTACTAGAATAGAACAGTAAAAAAAAAAAAAACTCCAACAAACAAAAGCCAACAACGCAAAATGAAATTACCAACATAAGAGCATGATAATACCATTTCAAGAAAGACACAATTAAAAATACAATATTTGAACATAGCAAAAAGGCATTGCAATCTAGAGCGAGATGCAACAGCTTGAAACCACCTTACAGTTGCTCATATAAAGTGTAGATGAAGTTCAAAAACCTAGAGTAATTACATAAATAATCAAATCATCAATCCCTTCATCTTCTTGTCATGCCTAACAGTACACGGTTTAAGATTGAAATTCTGTCATATGCTTCAATAATCTTCTCGCAGCCACGTTTGAAAAGTTGATTACCAAGTTAGCTTTGAATTTCTTTGAATTGAAGCTTTGGCCCATTCCATCATTCTCCCAGTTTATTATGTATTCAACGAACTTTATCACAAACAATTAGCAATCATGCTTGACATAAATTAATAAAATTCCTGTTAGAGAATGGATATTACAGACGACGTGATGTTATTATTATCATCCTTTTAATTAAAAACATTATGAACTGCATGTTTCATATAAGATATTTTGCATTACACGTTCTATATTCATGTACATCTGATGAATTTCAATCATTTAATGAACAGAATGAGCAAGAATGTATGTGCAAATAAGTGACCATATCCTATGCATCAATCATAAACATGAAATAAAAAAATCAGATTTCAACACATACAGCATTCTACCTATTCACTTGAAATTTAAAAAAAAAAAAAAAAAAAAAAAAAAAAAAAAAAAAAATTAAAAAAAAAAAAAAAAAAAAAAAAAAAAAAAAAAAAAAAAAAAAAAAAAAAAAAAAAAAAAAAAAAAATTCTTGAAATAAATAAATAAATAAAATTGTATAAGCACGACTGTATGTGGAATAAATGACCATATCCTATGCATCAATCATAAACGTATTCAGGTTTTCAATTACACATGAAATCAAGAATTTAACTTTCAACTCATACACCCCTCTATAAATTGACTTAAATTAAAAATTTATAAATTGGGAGTCATAAATATATGCTAGCAAAACCGATATAAGAGTCCACATATTTGTCAAGACATCGAAAAAATTACCTGTGGTTTTTGTAAGACTTTAAACTTTTTCTTTCAGTTGCTGGGATCTGCATTGGCATCTTTAAATTGCCTCTTACCCTTGTCCTTCGTTTGGTTAATTATCCCCAAACTTTAGGAGTTCGTGTTTACGACACTTGCAGCAGATGGACGGCTGGTGAAAACTTTTGACCGTGAGGATATGTAAATAGAATGTGTGATGCAACAAGTAGGGATGTTAATCATTTTGTTCTTGGGTTCAATAATCTCACATGACTTGGAGGAACTGCTTGCTTGCTGAGTCTTGATGTTACCCATAGAGAAATATCGTTTCTGGACCGCCGCGACCGGGGTCTCTTGGACATTTTCTCACTAACCATACTAATCCCAATGGAGATGTATTTGTATCAGCAGCCATGATTTACGTCTCAACAATTAGACATATATTTTCACAATGCATTTCTAGGGTTTTATAATAGCTTGAATGTAACAACAGAAAGTACAAAATCAAACGGTTGATTTGTGCAAATTGTGGTGATTGTGGTGAGCAGGGATATGTGGAAGATCAATATGGTGTTAATAGATTATGATTTTCTTGAGGATGGATGAAGAAAGAGACTATTTTGGGGGAGGTTTTGATTTGGAATACGAATAGACTCATTTTTGGGTTTTGGAGTATATTTTTTGTTAAAGATAATTGCTATCATCAATTAAGGGCGTGTTTGTTGGGATCATATTTTAAAGGCGTGATTGTTGGTTTAAAATTAGCATCATAATTGGTAGCAGACTTATTTTGATAACTTTTAACATTTGTATTTTACTATAAAAAAAAAGTAATTATAGTAAAAAAAAAAAAAAGGTTGAAAAGTGTAATCTAAATATTTATTTAAAACAGGTACCAGCATAATTTCTCTTGAACATTCCATGTGTGACAGAAGCTATAGGGCCTATAGCCAATTGAAATCTTAAATGTTTAATTATGGGCAACTTACAAAAGAATCCCCAAAATTAGGGATCTTTTAAAAAATTATAAGAAAAGTTAAGTGTAACTTTTTTATTAAATGTCACTTTTATTAAAAAGTGATATTTTTCACTCAAAAAAGTGATAAATTTTTTTTTAAAAAAAAAAGGCAAAATATCAAATAAAACGTTAAAATCGGTTCAAAGTGACAAAAAATTAGAAAAAAAAAAAAAGTGACAACCACCGTCCTTCCTCTTTCTCCGTTTACTGCTAAACATTTTAAAATCATTTCACAAACAAAATACCAATCAAAACGTTTAGTATTTTAAAGTCAATGCACAGCTACCGTCTTCGTATCGCTTTTTCTATATCTATCCACACACTCCTCAATGCCGTTACAAAATGTCTACTTTATATACACAACCACCACAACCTTAACCATCACTGCTCATTAATATTGACAACGGCTCCATCATTCCCACCAATAAGAGAACTGTACCCAACAGCTATCATAGATACGCATCATCATCATTATCACCACATCTAAATCTTCTAATTCTTCGTCAAAGTGTAGCGATTGTTGTAATCGCCTCCACCATTATGGTCTCGTAGTTCATTTACCTATTTATCACGCTCCTGTCTAGGCGATTCCACCACTACACCTTCTCCGATGTTCACCTACAAAACAACACAACACCAATATTGCTTCAAATAATGCGAACTCTACCAATACCATGTGGTATCGAACAATTTGAGAGTCTATTAGTTTCAACACATTTGAATCAAAATGAAACAACTTCGAATTGAAACTTCTTCTGTTCGCTTTTGTGCTTTGGCCACCAAAGCATCAGTTCTTACTTTGAACTCTTAATATTTTCTCTACAATGCAAAAACATTGTCTAAAAATGAATTTAATTCCACTAAATTCACCAAATATAACAGAAGAAAAGAATTCATCTATTTTACCTTCATATCCCTACGTTTCTTTACGAAAGTAGGCTGAACTTTATCTTTTAAGTAGTAAATTTTCTTAGAAAAGTAGAACTCTGGAGCTCAAGGTTCAATGCTCTATTTTGGACAAAAATGCACCCACCTCCTTACAAACTCAGCTATTTTAGCTAATGCATCAAATGGAAGCATCGAGACTCCATCATCTGCCATATAGCAAGTCAGTTTCTCAATTGGATAATCTACATCCAAGATTGAAAAGACGATTTGCAGTAAAAATGGGAATCTAAAATTAACATAATTTTATAAATCATAAAAAAAGTTAGAAATTGAGAAAGAGCCACATCCAAAAAGATGAGCAGTCGTTGATCCGATGATGAGTTGTTTTAGAGGTGGTCAGCGACGTAGGTGGTGGAGCGATTGTAGATGGCAATGCGGGTGGCCAGTGATGAAGCTCGAGCATTATGGAGTTTTGTGAATTTTGGAGGTTTTCACTGTATAAATTACGAGGTTAAGAACTTTTGGGCCGTATGAATTAGTCTTCATTGTAATAATCAATTTTAAAACTTATGGGCTGTATTGAGCCTAATTTTCCCTTTAATTGTTTACTTCATTCTAATGGGTACAAACAATTTCAATTAAACAAAGTGAATTATTTTCGACATATTAATGATTAGTTTTTGAAGTTTTAAAATAAATTATAAGCTAATTAATCTAGTTGACAAACATGAATTTATATTTTATTTGAATTAGTAGTGCTAAAATCAAAGTGAAGAAGAATTAGATCAAACATTTGCATCAGGATCAACATCAGCATCAAATGATTTCAATTGTGATGAACTTCAAATAGCTCGAATTGAACAAAAATTACACAACTTGACTATACCAAAGGTCGAGAAAAACTCTATCTATGAAATAGAAAAATTTGATTTCACTCAAAATTATGTTATTAAAACTTTTGAACAAACAATACCAATCAAAAGTCAAAATGCATTTATCAATTTATCAAATGAAAATATTGACCATTTGATTGGGGTAGTATGATGGAAGACATGGATTAACTTATTTTCTATATCTCAAGTATTTCTTTTTATTTTAAAATTTTAATTCGAAATATATTTTTACTTTTCACAAAAAAATTGAAACTTTATTATGCTTCATTAATTTCACAGTATTGAAATATGTTTAACCTTTTAAATTTAAATTCAATCTTTTAAAATATATTTATTTTATTATATTGATAAATTAATGATGGATTATCAACATACTTGCTTGATTGATAGTGCAACTACATAAACCATTCTTCAAGACAAAAATAAAAATAAAAATAAAAATTTGACTTAATATTAGCAAAAAATAATATTAATACGATATCAGGTGCATCAAATATTGTTGAAGGCTCCCGGAAGAGCTTATATTATTTTACCAAATAATACAAAATTAGATATTGATGACGCACTTTATTCTAGCAAATTCAGAAAAATTTTGCTTAGTTTTAAAGATATCCACTGCAATGGATATTATATTGAGACGATACAAGAAAATAATGTTAAATATCTTTGCATAACTTCTTTTATATCTGTCAAGAATCAGATAAAAGAAAAACTTCATGAACTCCCACCTGGCATGCATTATACATTTATAAAATGGTTGAATCAAATAATTTTACGAACTAGAAGTCCCTTGACCCAAAATGTTTTATACTTTGGCACAATCGACTTCGACCTCTAGGATCTATAATAATGCGTCGAATAATAAACAATTCATATGGACATCTTTTAAAGAGCTAGAAGATTCTTTTACCTAATGATTATCCGTGTGTAGCTTGTTCGCAATGTAAGTTAACCATTAAACCTCCGATTATAAATGTCAATATTGAATCTCCAACTTTTTTATAAAGAATTCATAGAGATATGTGTGGGTCAATACACCCACCATGTGGATCATTTCGTTATTTTATGGTATTAATTGATTTTTCTACTAGATGATTGCATGTTTGCTTACTTTCATGTAGGAATGTAGCATTTGCTAGAATACTTGCTCAAATCATAAAATTACGATCACAATTCCCCAATTACTCAATCAAGAGTATTCATCTTGATAATGCTAGTGAATTTAGATTTCAAGCATTCGATAATTATTGTATGTCAATTAAGATTGTAATTGAACATTCAGTTATGCATGTCCATACAACAAATAGTCCAGCATAGTTGTTTATTAGACGTCTAGAACTATTGCTAAACCATTACTTATAAAAAAAAAAAATTCCAATTTCCATTTGAGGTCATGCCATATTACATCCGCATCATTGGTTCATATAAGACCAACTACCTCTTATCAATATTCCTCTTTGTAACTTACATTTGGTCATGGGTCTAATATTTTTCATCTACGGATTTTTGGTTGTGATGTCCAAATTCCTATTTCATTCCCATAACGTACTAAAATGGGTCCCTAACAAAAACTTGAGATTTTTGTGGGTTTTGATTCACCGTCTATTATAAGGTGTCTTGATCCTTTTCACGAATGATTTATTTACTACACGTTTTGCTGATTATCATTTCGATGAAATGATTTTCCCAACTTTGGGAGAACAAAAAATACATCCTAAAAATTAAGGTAGAATTTCTTAAAATAAAATAACTTTATCTCACTTTGATCCCCACAGCAATCAATGTGGGCAAGAAATTAAAAAATTATTTATTTGTAAAGAGTTACGAATCAATTACCTAATATATTTGTTGACAAAAGAAGAATGACAAAGTCATATATTCTAGCAGAAAATATTCCGACAAAAATTGATGTCCTTGAAGGACAATCTGCTGTAGCAAATGAATCTCAAATACGTTAGAAGCGTTGTTGATAGTTGGATCAAAAGGCTCTGTACTGAGAAGAAGAAAGGTACAGGAGAAAAACCAATCAAGAACTTCAGGAAAGGTAACTCTAAAAAAGATTGATCAATCAAATACTAAAAATATGGTTCCTGAATAAATTATTGAAAAGAAGCCATATATGTGGAATTGAATTCCTTAGAGAAAGGAAAAGTCTTTGGACCTGTAGTTCAAACTACTAAAAATGTAATCCTTGTAGAATTCAAATGGGTTTTTGTATGAAAAATAAATGAAAATAATGAAATTATAAGATACATAGCCCAACTCCCAGCTCGAGGTTTCTCACAAAAATCAGGAAAACAAATATTGGATTTGTAATTGTAGTAATTTATGTTGATGATTTAAATATATTTGAAACTTCATAAGAGCTCAACAAAATTGCATATTATTTAAAAAATAAATTTGGAAAAAAATCAAATTTTGTCTCGGGTTACAGATTGAATATTTTTCAGAAGGATTATTTGTTCACCAATCTACATATACAAAAAAAAGTTTTAAAACGTTTTTATATGGATAATGCACATCTATTAGCATTACTTATGGTTTTTCGATCACGTGATATGAAAATAATCAATTCCATCCGCTTGAGATAGAGAAGTGTTCTTGGTCTTAAAGTATCATATCTTAGTAGGAATTGCAGCACTAACTTATCTTGTAAGTTGCACTCGACCAGACATAGTTTTTCTATAAATCTCATTACAAAATATAGTTCTACACCAATTCAAAGACATTAGAATATTGTTAGACATTTTTCATTACTGAAAAAGTATTATAACTTCTTGCAGATATTGCCGAGGTGGCTTTTGCAAGACCTTGTAACTAGTTTTGTGCTCATTCTCATTCTTCCTTCATACCAAAACATGAAAAATAGATACAAGCATTCATCGTGCACATAGATATTTAAATCATAATATAATTAATGTGTGTGAGAGAGAGTGCATATAAATAGAACATTAATAGTAATTTATTTGAAGATTTAATAAATTATATAGGTAAATATTCAATGTGAAAATGATTTACACCGGTATAATGATTCACCAATTAAATGACATATCATTTAATTAGTGAATCATTAAACCTATGCTTAACATAAGTTAATCACTACTTTAATGATTTATCAATTAAATGATGTACCATATCATTGGTATTTAACATAAGCTAACTACTGATGTTTAGAAAATCATTCCTAATATTCAATGTTTCTGAGTTAAATCTTGTGTAATTTAGTACTCCCCTCCATAAAGAAAACATTTTATAGGAGATCTATTATAACTTTTCCTGCTTTCCCAACCAACGAACGCAGCAAAGTCTGTGATTCTAGGACCAGATTGGCAAGGGAGCAGAGGAAGGAACGAGACGACAATGAAGGTCACTTGAGAAAGTCACATCATACTAACACGGACGATCGACATCGAAGCTGCCAAGCCAGATTTGCTAGAAAAGATAGACGAACATAGTCTTAAAAGCATAATATTTAGATATAAAGTTTACAAACTTAAAACTATGTTAATTGAAACAATCCTCACAAATTTGCATTAAAGAAACAAACTAGCTCCACATGAAATCCTTGAAACTTAATAGACCAACAAATACACACACTGTTTTGAAATCGTCTATTCAAAGGCCCACTGGTTCTCTCTTCGGACATCCTCTTCCTCTTCAGGTGTAAAGTCGTTCTTGATGCTGAATGTCTTCCGTATCTCCTCGGGCGTTTTTCCCTTGATCATGTCAGCAACAGTTTGACAAGTCAAATCCAGGAGAGACTTGATATTCAGATAGTTAGCGGCCTGAAAAGTTAGAATAGAAAGGATAGATAATATCACTTTTATAACTCAGCCACAACTGAACAGAGGTTGACAAAATCCTAGATCACGAGTTAACGCGAATGCAACTGAAATTTTTTTTTATTCTTCATTTGTTCAAATAAACTGTGCAGCAATTAATAGTTCAATTACAAGCAAGCTTGCAATTAACAACAATGATGTATAAACTATCATCGAGGTCTTATCCTGTACATCATATTGCTCATATAATCAGAATGATTCTATACAATTATAATAACAGGGTGCTAAATGAATTAGTGCCCATGTATTTCAAATCAAACAGTTAAGCTATTTTCATAGAAACATACTGCACAACAAAAGTCAGCTTCAAACGTCAAAAAGGGAAGACGTCAAGAAATTCATGTAGCACTAGGTGAAGAAAATGATATAGCGAACCCCAATTCCTGTACAATCAACATGTACGCTCTTCATACTTGATAACTACCATTCAAAAAATTAGTTTCAAATCTAAAAATTGTTAATAGTACATAAAACTTGATGTCAAAACCAACTAGCACTCTCTATTCTCAAACTAAAATGTTTATTCAAATAATATAAATTTGTAATCTTCGGTTTTTTTCCTCACATATATAAATCAATTACAATTTCAGCCTTTCGTATAAAACACTACACAGCGTTCCAATTACAATTTCAGTTCGAGTAACAAGTAGTTTAAACCTGGGAAGAACGAACATGCTGCCAGCATCTACATATCGAACACCAGTAGTCTCCGACACATCTTTGATGCATCGGAGGTCCTTGCAGCGTGTCGGAGACGAAGGATGCAGACTGCTAGAAGAGAACAGTAAGAAAAACAGATGGCCAGATGAAATGCGGTTATGGCTGGAAGAAGGGCACAGACGAGTGCGAAAGAAAGGCTCGGATGTGGCTGACAGTGAAGAATAAATGAAGAGACAGTGATCACTGAGGAGGAAAAGAAATGAAGAGTCTGAGGAAGTAAACCAATGCAATTTTTCAATTCAAATTGTTGGGCCCAATAACACTAAATGCTCTATAAATTGTCAAGGTGTCGGGCAAATAGTTGAATTGGAATATATTCATATTTTTGGGCACCATGTGCAATACACAAACTAAATCTTGCTTTGAAGAACATTTGTGCCACAACGAACGTTGAAAATTATAAGATCACAAATGAGGAAAGCAACTAAATTACTAGTCTTCATGATGATGTAATGATTGTAAAAACTTTTACCATTAACCAATCTATGAGACTAGCAATGTTTAATGAATTTGTGTCGTTAAAGTTGCTTATCGTAGAGAAGACACAATTAGCTTCTACCGTTGTCATTCTAAAAAGATTCAAGCTTATCCAACATTGTGTTCAAGCTTTGGTTATTAGTGAAGAATGAACATTTTATCAAGAGATGATAAGACGAAGGCAAGTTTTGTCAAAGACAGTGCTTGATGATTTTTAATGGTACTCTATAAGTTATGTTCTTTCGTACATTTCTCTCATTTAAGACCTGCTTAGATTTTGCTTAGATTTTGTGATACGGATAAAGCTTGCCTTCATTTGGTCTACGAATTTTGTGATACAATGATTGAGAAAGTGCGAGGAACGATTTATAGGCATGAGAAAAATGTTTAAGAGGAGCTATCATCATGCTACAATGTTGTTCATTGGATACTTGTAGGTCGTTGGAACAAAAATAGAACTCCAATTCATTTCTTGTCTCAATCTCTAAATCCAAGGTAATTTTTTAAATATAATTCATACATTTATCGTTTATTTACATTTTCATAGTGTTTATTGTTTCTAGTTAGTTATTAAATGAATTGTCATTTCTTCAATTTTCTCTCTTATTCAGATACTATAGTGAGGAATGGCTTAATGAGGATCAAGAGTAGAGATTTCAAGAGAAAGAATATAGTGCTTCAAGATGTACTTGTCAAATGAAGAGCACAATATGGTGAATAAGGAGTGTACTATAAATTCTCAACTATGGAAGACAACTTTGGTGATTTTGAATCTACCCATGATTGTTACCGTTTGGACCCCGATGACTTGGTGGGTTATTTATGGCATTTGCACACCTATGCTTCAAAGTTACACATTAAAATTATTGAAGCAACCATCTTCTTGATCTCGTCGTGAGTGAAATTAGAGTACTTTTTCCTTGTGCATTCTTTTAAATGGTATAAGAACTCCAAACCAAGGGGAAGATTAGCTTCCACCCATAGCAATCTTCGTCTCTCGTCGAGGAGGAGTGCACAATATTCACAAGGACACAGATTAAAATATGGGATATCGGTAGAGATGCATTTGGTACATTTGAAGATATTGGTGTACTTGAAGTTGCTAATTTGTCTCTAAAGATGAATGATGTAATTAATTTCGTTTTTATCTTTTGAACTTGTGTTATTAAGAAACATGTATGAATTTAATATCAAGTTTGATTTCTATTTACTATATGTGCGTGCCCTCGTGTGTGATGCAATAAGTATAAAAAAATATTACTTTAGACTATTGAATTTAAAAAGTTAAAAAAATTAAAATTTTAACCAACGTATTGTGACAAATCTTTTTCCAAAATCGCATGTCTGCATGTCCAACACATATCATGTTGGACACTCATATTCGTGTCAGTGCTTCTAAAATTTACACCCAATAAATAAAAACAAATGACCAAACAGACCCACAGGATCATAGCCAGATTCACAATCATCCTTTCTAAATTCTAGATCAACAATCTATCATTAATTCTTCCTATAGTAAGAGAAATCCAGAACCCCGTAATATGTATATTCCCACCCAAAATGAACAAAGTACTAAATAACGCTATCATAGTTCCAAATACCAGCTGCAAAGTGCAAGCACGGTCTCAGAGCCTCATCATTTAATATCCTAGTTTCTTAACATATAAAGAACCACTTAAAACGGTTCATAAAAAAATAGGGAAACAATTCTACCAGACAAAAGCAAACAACAGTAATATTTATAAACAAAATCACAACCATAACAAGAAGAATAATAATATCAGTATAAACTAGCAGCTGCTTTAACAACATTCCAAGCACAGTTATCATGCTTATAAAACATTGGTACAACAACCCAAACTAAAACCTGAAACACCAGCCCAGTATACTAAAATGTCAAGACTAACAAACCCCTAATACACAATTTACAACCAAAATGATCAAACAATCAAAAGAAACAATAGCATGAACAATAGTAACAACAAAATGTACAAGTATTATGTAACTATAAATTATTCTAGGTTATTTGCACAAACAGCAATAGTAACGAACTGACAATAATTATAGATATGATGCGACTATTAACACTTAAAAAGAAGAATTTATAATCAAATCTATACGTAATTCCAGAAAATAACATCAATACAAAGTAAATTATTTGCATAACTTAAAATTATTATAGGTTATTTGCATAATTAGCAAGAACAATTGTAGCCATAGTAACAAAATTACAACTACTCCAGATATAATGTAACAATTAACGTCTAAAACGCACTACTTATTGCCAAATCTAACAATAACCTAGAAAAATAGCATCAACACCAATATCAACAGCAATAAATAAATACAAAATAATTAAAATAATCATCAAAAGTCAAATAACAAAAACCATAACGATATGTATACCAGGATGAGGTCGAAGAGGGTAGCTTGGTCGACTTTTGCGAAATCAGCGTCAAAGGCCTTGACGTCATCATCGTTGGTTGAAACCTTGTCATCGGTTTTAGCGGAGGCAGCGTCCACGTGCTTTTTGCAGTACTCAATGATTTTGGACAAGATCTTGCCGGTGACGTTCGGCAGGGGAATAACGTTGTCGGCGCAGTCGTCCTCAACCATGTGTTTGATCGTTTGAGACTCCAGCGCCACCACCTCCTCAACCTCGAAAACCTCGCCGTCGGAGCTCCGGAGAGTTACCTTCTTGCCAGCGATCTCCGCTCCTGAAGACGACATCGTTTCGTGCGAGCGAGAATAATTTGGGAACAGGGAAAATAACCTGCAAGTGGATATGATAGATTTTCTTTAGCAAAAAGTTGAGATGCCTTTTTATATGGAAATTTATGATACACGCGCTCACCGTGTATCCTTTTGATCTGAAAATAGAATTGCACAAAAAAATAGTGAAACCGTAAATCAAATCGAAATTGTTGAGTTGAAATCGTTGGTTCAGATCCACGTGGACCTGTGATTTCTTTTTTCTCAAATTGAACCAAATCGTTTGAAAATGGTTTGGTTTAAGTTTTGATTTTAAAAAACCGCACACAATCGAATCAAACCATTTTCAAAATTTTTAATTAAAACATTAATTTTATTAACGTAAAAATTTTGCAATTTTTACTTTTAAAAAAAAAAATTTACAATACAAATTACAACCAGCCTATTGAAATAATTATAGAAAGTAAATTATGTTCATCATTATTGTCCTATGATTTAATAGGTTCACATCACACGTTCTCATCCGATATCTAAACTAAACTAAAATTATTTCAAAATCATATTATATATATATATTCAACAATCCAAATCATAATTCAACAAGATTATGTTAGCAAATCGCGTCCAAAATTTCAGAAGCCCTAATATAAACTCTCATTTCCCTAACATTTGACGATTGTCTATCACTACTGAACGAATCACCAGTCGCCTTCGCTGGTTAGACTACTAATTTATACCTGAATCGCCTCTTCTTCTCTTCTCTTTCTGTAAGTTTCAAATTTTTATTCAAGCTATTTTTCATTATTTTTTCTTTTATTTTTTATTTTTTTAAACTTATTATACACTTATGAGTTGTAGTTTGGATAGAAAATATCTGTTTGTGTGTCTAGATGATTAATGAATTTGTTTGTGATTTGGAAAGAACAAAGGACGGAGCGAATTGATTTTGTGAAAATGTTAAAGTTTCCTAACTAGTACTTCTACCTTCTACTTTCATAAAGTAGTTAGAGGATGAAAATCATCAATTTTCAATAAGCCAAAACTCTATTAATCTTTGCACATCTAACATATCCCGTTCAATCCTTATATAACATCTCACTAATAAAACGAAATGAGTTTTAATCAAATTATAATAGCAGAATGTAACTGTACATTTACCAATCGCTATATGACAATATGAATGTCAAACGAGAAAAGGTAAAGAAAATGAAGAAAAATGTATTTGCTCTATTAACATCTTTTAGCAACCAATTTTGAAAATAATTTATTCATGGGTTTCAAGGTAAATATGAATGTAATTTAATATTTAACATTATTGGTTCTCGTTTAAATTTATATTTAACTTATGTTAAATATATTACTATAATATCGATAGGTAAACCGTGGATTAAAATCGAACCAAACCATAAAAAACCAAACCACAAATTATGGTTTGGTTCAAAAAATAAAATGATTTGGTTTGATTTGGAAAAATTTCAAATCGCATAAAATAGTTTGAGTTGAAAATATAACACAATCCATACAAATCGAACCGAGTTCACCCCTATCCAAAAATATCAAATTACTAGTCTATCGCCCTTGCACGGGTAGGATCATTTTGAACATGATATTAGCATTTTTAATGTTGCTATGAGTTTAGTATTTAAAAAAGAAGTAAATCAATTAGTTATAAAAATAAACATTTGAGGTAAGCTATCTGTGATGTACATAATTTGAGATGGACTGATTCAATATGGTAATGACAAAAATAAACAGTTTAGCTCGGTGCAAAGAAAAGTATTAATTTCCACCAGTAAAAAAAAAATTGAAATAATTTTAAATTGAACAAAATTATATTAAAAAATTTTGAAGTAAAAAAAAAAAATTCTATTGAAGGAGAGAAAAGCAGTAATTGAAAAAATTAAATTCAATCATAAAGAGAAAATAATTTTAAAAAAATTTTAAAAAATAAATTAATCAGTAATTTTCACCAGTAGAAAATTTGAAATAATTTTACATTGAACAAATTTATATTAAAAAAAATTTAAATGGAAAAAAAAATTTGTCCTTTAAAGGAGAGAAAAACAGTGATTGAAAAAATTAAATTTAGTGAGAAAACAATTTATCTATAATATAAACAAAAAAATAGAAAATGAAATAAATAAATAAAAAAAATTCTAACCTTTGAAACTCTCCTGTCACAAAGAAAAAGGAGATAACTCTTCTTTTAAAAAGTCAAAAAGAAAGTCTCTCCTTTTGAAAGAAGAGACAATCTCTCTGTGGATGGAGATAATTTTTTTTGCTTATTTTTTATTTAAATTTGTTTCGTTCATATTATAATTTTATTTCAAATTCTTTTTAATTCTTTTCTCATTATGATAAAATTTATTTCTTTTAATTTTAATTAAATAATATTAATATATTATTTTTTTATTTTTGTAATTTTAATTTGTTTAATTAAATAATATTTATATATTTTTTAAGAAAGTAATTTGTTAAATTTGAATTAAATAATATTTATTTTTATTTTTAATTATTTCAGTTTAATTTAAAAACTTTATAATAATCTTTTTTCTATTTTTGCTTGCGATCCCTTTTTTAATCTTTATATTTAGTTTTTTTAAATTTGAATTAAAGAATATTTATTTTTAATTTAAAAAATTTATAATGATTTTTTTTCTATTTTTGCCTGCAATTCCTTTTTATAATCTTTATATTTAGTCTCTTTTCTTTATTGTTATATATATAGTATTGGATTTGATGAAGTAGAGTGAAAATGGAGAAATATTTATATAAATATGATTTAAGAAATTGTTCGTTGTGCTTGCAACGGAAATGATAAAAAGGAAACTAAAATATGTACAACAACCTATTAATAATGTCAAAAGTAATAATTTATTGCTATTCGGCAATATTTTAACCGTAGTCTTTACCCGAAGGTATACGATTAGGTTCGTGTACATAGGCATTTAAATTACAAAATAAAATACTCATGACTGCCTATTGTCACAAAAGTAATATAGATGTTGTTCACTTATATTTTTGTTTTGAGGTGATTACAGTGTTTCAATCATCATTTTCATAAGTTTTATAGCCTGTGTGAGTCTTTTTCTTGGCTTTTGACTTTGCTTCAGTAGGTACATTTGATGGTTGGAAGATAGACCTTTTTGCATGTGGTGGAGTGATTTCTTCAATGGCTATGGAAATAGCATCGAGTTGGCCATCAACTTTGCTCTTGCCCTTTGCTTCTTTCTTGGCTGAACTTTCTTTCATTTTAGTTGGACTATTCGCATCATATGTGATAATTGAGGAATTTATTTCAGTCAGTGTGGAGGAGTTGAATACGAATATGATTTCAAAGCGGTACTCAGGTGGGTCGTGACACTTTTTTTGTCGCCTTTAGGTAAAAGAGCATCTTCGTATCACTTTGCAATTTCACGACATCATTGAGTTCGGCATTTCATTCTTGCGGTAGACGAAATATATTTTCAATAAAGTGGCATATTTGTTGTGAAAAAATAAAGCATTATTAAAGAATGTTGGACATGATGTTCTACTTTTTCAAGATGGTCCATTATGGCATTGGCATTACTTTCCAATAACATCTCTGCTGCATCTCCTATGATGGTTGCATCTAATAAACCAAATTTGTCTTCAAGTTGTACGAAAGCATTTACCCTAATTTTTTTTTCAGCTATGCATTATGTACCTAGTTCATGAAGTAATTATTAGTAAAGCTTAGAACTTATGTTTAATGGAAGAAATTAACTTGGGATAGCTTTTGCGTGTTCATATTCGTAGAAGGGACATTTATGAATTTCTCCAAAGGTTGCATTGGACGTCTTCTTTTAGTTGCTGCAGGACATATACTAAATTTTTTTGTTTCTTGATACTATTTTCCAGTTTACATTCACCCAATAGAATATTTTCTGTTAAAAAAGATGTCTTATGTAATTAGATATGGAGATAGAACAAATTCATTTTTCTACCGTTAGCACCAAAAGCAGTCATTTTTTTGATTAGTACACTCTTATGTGGGGCCCAAGGGACCAAAAAAGGGTTCAAAAATTACTTTTCTTCTTCTAAAAAATGTCCTCCAAATAGGGTCTCAGTTCATTAGTTAGAATTACAGTTAGGTAGACTCCTAGTAAATTCTCAATTGGTATTAATTCATTCTCAGTTGAAGGAGAAAGTTTTGGTGGGCTGACAGCAAAAAAAGGTTTACTCTCTAGTCAGATTGTCAAGTATTTCTTTGTTAACTTCCACCCTACAAGAAATAATGACATATTTAGTTCTAAAATATAACTCTTGTTCTTTTTTTTTTTTCTTTTTTTTTTTTTTTTGTGTGTGTATGAAAGTTGTAAAAGCAATATGTTTATTGGGTATGTTGTAGTACCATTCTTTGTACTCTGCAACGGCCAGTAGTTGGACGTTAATGAAAAAACTGCTATTTACTTTGGTTGAAAGGTGTGATGCCTCTAGAAAAGAAATTAGGAATAATTTATATGTCTTTTTTTAAAAAAAAATTTATAAATGAAATTGTATTTGTAAAACGAATTTACTGTTGAACGAAGAAACCTTGAGATTTGTAGCCCATATGACGGATCTATTTGCAAGGTTTTCAATTATTGTAGTGCATTCTCGTTCGGCAAAATTGTCCCATAATATTAGCATCACAGTTTTGAACTGTTTGTCTATCAAGACAACATCTTGTAGATAGGCTTGTGTACCAATGTTAGATTGAATAAGTCGTCTCTATTGAATAGTTATAGTGACACCCATTACACCTACAAGAAGGTCACGAAAAGTGTTTTTTTTTTTTTTTTTATGTATTTTGCATGTAATAAATTTGAACGTAAAAAATAAACTATGAAACATTATATGAAATGATTAGTTTAAATTTATTGTGTTAGAAATATTACTTATGTCTGTATTCTTGTCTATGTGCCTGTCCAGTTGATCAAATGGAGTAAGTTTATATTTTGAGAACAGGAGATTCAAGTTGTCCTCATTTAATTCTTCAACCTTCGTTCTTCCCGTTATATTCCAAATTTTTTGCCGAAGAGAACTGCGAAATTCACTTTGAAATCTTTAACTGTTGTATTTCAGACAACATAA